AGCAGACGCTTTTATCCAAAGCGACTTACAGTCATGCGTGCATATTTTTTTTTTGTGTATGGGTGGTCCCGGGGATCGAACCCACTACCTTGGCGTTACAAGCGCCGTGCTCTACCAGCTGAGCTACAGAGGACATGCTATATTATGATCACTACATCCGATGGATTTGGATACTACTTTAAAGCAGATTTCTGCAACATTAGTAAAGATGTAATCAATACATGTGGATTATTTAATTCCTGTGCTGTTTGTAAATACCCTGGCAGGTTGACTAATAACTTGAACCAGGTTGCAGGCACTGGTTACAGTTTGAAGCTTTTTCTTGAGTGGGCAGCATAATGAAAGCCAGTCAATATTTAGGTCACCCAGAAATTATACCTCTCTGTTGATATCACATACATTATCAAGCATTTCACACATATTATCCAGATACTGACTTTTAGTGCTTAGTGGTCTATATCTGCTTCCCACAATAATTGACTTTTTGTGAGGCAGGTGAACCTGTAGCCATATTACTTAAACAGCATTTGACATGAGATCCTCTCTAAGCCTTACAGGAATATGATTCTGAACATAAACGGCAACACCTCCACCATTGGCATTCCTGTCTCTTCTGAAGATGTTGAAACCATGAATTGCTACCACTGTATAATCAAATGTATTATCTAAGTGAGTTTCAGAGATAGTCAGTGTATGAATGTTATCTGTTACTAGCAAGTTAATGATTTCATCAAACTTGTTTCTTAGGCTACATACAGTATGTTAATGTGAGCTATGGGCCTCTTTGTGCTGCTCATGGAACACCAAGAAGATAAGGTGTACCAATGCAATGGTGACTAAAGTGAAAATGTACAGTGCCTTCAGAAAGTATTCACAACCCTTGACTTTTTTCACATTTTGCTGTGTTACAGCCTGAATTTAAAATGGATTAAATTGAGGTTTTTTGGCACTGGCCTATACACAATACCCCATAATGTAAAAGTGGAATTATGTTTTTAGAATTTTTTTAGGCTGAAATATCTTTAGTCAATAAGTATTCAATCCCTTTCTAATGGCAAGCCTAAATAAGTTCATGAGTACACATTTGCTTAAATCACATAAGTTGCATGGACTCTGTGTGCAATAATAATGTTTAACATGATTTCTGAATGAGTACCTCATTTCTGTACACTACACATACAATTATCTGTAAGGTCCCTCAGTCGAGCAATGAATTTCAAACAAAGATTCAACCACAAAGACCAGGGAGGTTTTCCAATGCCTCGCAAAGGGCACCTATTGGTAGATGGGTAGAAATAAAAAAAAAAGCAGACATTGAACACTCCCTTTGAGCATGGTGAAGTTATTAATTACACTTTGTATGGTGTATCAACAGACCCAGTCCCTACAAAGATACAGGCGTCGTTCCTAACTCACCTAACTCAGTTGCCGGAGAGGAAGGAAACCGCTCAGGAATTTCACCATGAGGCCAATAGTGAATTTAAAACAGTTACAGAGTTGAATGGCTGTGATAGGAGAAAACTGAGGATGGATCAACAACATTGTGGAAAAGAAGGAAGCCTGTACAGAATACAAATATTCCAAAACATGCATCCTGCATGCAACAAGGTACTAAAGTAATACTGCAAAAAAATGTGGCAAAGCAATTAGCTTTTGGTCCTGTATACAAAGTGTTTAGTTTCTGAGTACCACATATTTTCAACATAGTGGTGGCTGCATCATGTTATTGGTATGCTTGTAATCGTTATGGACCGGAGAGTTTTTCAGGATAAAAAAGAAACGGAATGGAGCTAAGCACAGGCAAAATCCTAGATGTCACTAATCAGTGTGGCAGACCTTACCATTTTGGTTTGCAAGTGTTTTGTTACAAGACACCTTTTCTCTTGTAACCCCTTCCTTTGTCATTTGGATGTGTGTATGACCAAGTAACCATCCTTGTTAACCATCCGATCCTTACATCCCTCAACCATGTTATCATCTGTCATCATTATCTTAACAATAAACCAGGCAACAACCCTTTGAACTGCAAACCACCATCTCTTTGTTTTAATGGACACACCACCACGATTGTCCTAACGCAAACCAACAGTTACAGCAAGATACAGTCCTTTTACCACCACAACTCTGATCAGTTTTTACACTAGAGGAAAACCTGGTTCAGTCTGTTTCCCACCAGACACAGGGAGGTGAATTCACCTTTCAGCAGGACAATAACCTAAAACACAAGACCAAATCTACACTGGAGTTGCTTACCAAGAAGAGGGTGAATGTCCCTGAGTGGCCGAGTTACAGTTTTGACTTAAATCTATTGAAAATCTATGGCAAGACCTGAAAATGGTTGTCTAGCAATCATCAACAACCAATTTAACAGAGCTTGAAGAATTTAAAAAAGAAAATAGGAAAATGTTGCACAATCCAGATGTGGATTGTGCAGAATGACTCACAGCTGTAATCCCTGCCAAAGGTCCTTCAACAAAGTATTGACTCAGGGGTGTGAATACTTATGTAAATTAGATATTTCTGTATTTCATTTTCAATACATTTACAAACATTTCTAAAAACATGTTTTCACTTTTGTAGTGGAAATTCTAATCAATAATGAGGAGAGACAGGGTCAATCACCAATCAGGATATTACTTTATTCAAAACGTATATTAATAAGGTAATAAGTGAGGCTGGTCCGCCCAACAGTCTTGACTGTTGTGCTGAGAGCCCCGACACAAAGAATACAAAGATATTTTATAGCAACGATACACCCTCTTAGTCTACATGACAAATAACAGATGTATGGAATGGGTCACAAGGTGAGACTTGAAACAGTGGCTTGCGAAAGTATTCACCCCCCTTGGCATTGTTCCAATTTTGTTGCCTTACAACCTGGAATTAAAATGGATTTTTTTGGGGGGTTTGTATAATTTGATTTACACAATATGCCTACCACTTTGAAGATGCAAAATATGTTTTATTGTGAAACAAACAAGAAATAAGACAAAAAAAACGGAAAACTTGAGCGTGCATAACTATTCACACCCCTCCCCCCAAAGTCAATACTTTGTAGCCACCTTTTGCAGCAATTACAGCTGCAAGTCTCTTGGGGTATGTCTCTTCCGTAAAGCCCAGCTCTGTGGAGTGTACGGCTTAAAGTGGTCCTATGGAGAGATACTCCAATCTCCGCTGTGTAGCTTTGCAGCTCCTTCAGGGTTATCTTTGGTCTCTTTGTTGTCTCTGATTAATGCCCTCCTTGCCTGGTCCGTGAGTTTTGTTGGGCGGCACTCTCTTGGGCAGGTTTGTTGTGGTACCATATTCTTTCCATTTTTTAATAATGGATTTAATGGTGCTCCGTGGGATGTTCAAAGTTTCAGATATTTTTTTATAACCCAACCCTGATCTGTGCTTCTCCACAACTTTGTCCCTGACCTGTTTGGAGAGCTCCTTGGTCTTCATGGTGCCGCTTGCTTGGTGGTGCCCCTTGCTTAGTGGTGTTGCAGACTCTGGGGCCTTTCAGAACAGGTGTATATATACTGAGATCATGTGACAGATCATGTGACACTTAGATTGCACACAGGTGGACTTTATTTAACTAATTATGTGACTTCTGAAGGTAATTGGTTGCGCCAGATCTTATTTAGGGGCTACATATGCACGCACTACTTTTCCGTTATTTATTTTTTAGAATTTTTTGAAACAAGTTATTTTTTCCATTTCACTTCACCAATTTGGACTATTTTGTGTATGTCCATTACATGAAATCCAAATAATACTTTTAATAATACCCCCAGCCAGATAGCATTTGCTACAAAACAAGCTTCCTGTCATCATTATCCATACCCGAGCCATCTCTCCCTGGTACCTCATTATACACAAACACCAATTCATTCTATGGAATGCATGCTGTCGGTTTGATCACCAAAGGCATCGTAAATCTACTGTCAGTGTTAACACAGACACATGAGAGTTTCTAAGAACCCTATTCTATTGCAGAAAACAACCATTTGATGCAATAACAGTATTATGACATCATCTAGTTATTTTTGCTATCACGCTTTGTTATGAGCTTTGTGTGTAGATGTGTAGATGGGTGAGAAAAACAATCAATTTAATCAATCATGAATTCAGGCTGTAACACAACAAAATGTGGAATAAGTCAAGGGATATGAATACTTTCTGAAGGCACTGTAACTGACTGGATGTTTCTGTAATGATCAATGAGGATGTACATGTTGTTTAAGTTGACAGTATATAGAGAGATGTAAAACTTAGGTTTGGCAAGGTATTAGTTTGAGCATGACACTTCCTTCGCGACGTTAATAAAGACATTAATTGGATTTAAGCATTTGTCATTTGTTCTCAATATCTTCATTACCATCACAACTCCAAACCCGTCATTACAAAGAAGGGTTCAAAATAATCTGAGTAAAACCCTTCATAAAAAATATGAATGTTCAGCAAATCTCGCAAGTATTAAACAATTGATGCCTGGCAAGCAAGGTTTACAATTGATAGATTAAATTATAGGGCCTAGCACCTAGCGTTTAAGAGCGTTGGAGTTTGAATCCCCGAACCAACTAGGTGAAAACTCGATCGATGTGCCTTTGAGCAAGGTACTTAACCCTAATTGCTCCTGTAAATTCATCTGTACAAGAGGGTCTGCTAAATGACTAAAATGTAATATACAACAACATATGTGAAGCATAAAGAATATAATGTAAAGCACTGCATTTTACTGTAATCACATCAGAAATATGGTAATAAGATGACTTCCTGATTTTATTAAGGTTGGTTTGACTACTGTTACACAACACTAAGTAGTTTTAAACCGTCAAATAAAGGCTTTGTGAAGAGGGCCAATACACCCGGTCTTCCTTTTGTACTCCACTATAGCAGACAGAAGGATACAGAGAGCTCAATTCAATTAAACCCACATTGCAGTATTTACGCAGTAGAGTCAAAATGGTTCTGGGCCCTCTAAAAGTAGCAGGTAGGCCTCCCTTACAGATAGGTCAGTGCTATCCGGAATCCTTGGGACGTCCCTACCCTAAACCTTAACTCTAACTCTAACCATAACCCTTAACCAACCCTAACCTTAACACTTACCTTAACCATTTTAAATGTCAACTTCAATGGGGCAGGGACATCCCAAGGATCCCGGATAGCACAGACCCTAACGGATAGATGTTTTGTTTTCACAGTGCCACTCCTTAGTGTGTGCATGGGCAGTAGTTAAGTAAACAAAGACACTGCATAAACATTGGTGTGGTAGGCGTTATTGAATCTGAACCAAGGCCTGTCACGTCTTTATCCCAAGAACACAGATTTCTCCAGGCCATCCTCTACTTTAGTGTACTCCAGGTGGGATTTGAAATATTTGCTCTCGTAGCGGGGGCTGTTTCTGACATACTCCAAGTAGTCAGGGGTTCCAGGACAGATGACGTTGTCTGCCAGCAGTATGGAGCCTTTCCTCAGCAGCTGACACTCCTAAGGAAAGAGGCAAAGGAACAAAGGAAAAATTGGCTGCTGTTCATTTCCATGCAAAGTAATACAGTACATATACAGGGTAATTACAGACATATACAGCTGTTTGTTACCTCCAGAAGTTTGATATCGGGCAGGTAGCGGTCTTTCCAGTGGTCCAAGAAGACAAAATCAAACGTTTTAATCCCAAATAGCTCCTGCATCTTGGGGATTAGATCTCCTGAGGCTCCTTCCACCAGACAAATCTGCCAAAACATCATGGGAGTTATAATAACAGAAATATGATTGACTCTATCTACTGTGTCCCTGTTTGGAATTCAGTCATCACACCAGAGCAATGTTTAAGCATACATAAAGACCACAATGTGTGTTCTATTGAATTCAGCCCCTGTCTGTCCACAGCACCCTCACCTTGTCCTGGAGCCCAGAATACTCAATGATCTGGCGAGCCACAGCGGCATAGTCTGGGTTGAATTCCAGGGTAATGAGCTTGGTGCCAGGGGGCAGCAGGCGGGCAATACGCACAGTGGAGTAGCCACAGTACGTACCCAGCTCCAGGGCAGTGGATGGACTAACCTCGCACACCACAGAGTCCAAGATGACCCCTAAATACACAGACAGGACAATAATGTGACTAATATAACTACACAGTTCTTTGTGTCGTTTCCTTGGAAACATACGGCAAATCAAATCAAATGTTATTTGTCACGTGCGCCAAATACAACAGGTGTAGACCTTACAGTGAAATGCTTACTTACCTTAACCAACAATGCAGTTTTAAGAAAAATAAGTGTAAAGTAAAAAATGTATAAGTAAAACATAACAAATAAAAATAAAAAACAAATAATTATAGAGCAGCAGTAAAATAACTGTAGCGGAATATATTCAAAAGTAACTGGTTATTTGACTGACTGTGCTTGTGGCGTGTGCTTCTGGCACGTGTGTGTGTGTCAAGTACCCCTCTATGCATGTGCAGTCATGCAGATGTCTTATTGACGCAGAGGAATTCCATCAGATCACATTCAGGACTGAGCTGTGATAAGTCTTGAGGCTATTCTCTCACGAAACAAGATATACTTGTAGAGGGAGGGAAGAATCCACAGGACAACATTGAAGAGAGAGTGTAAAAACACACTGAGAGAGAGCAGGCAAATAGGAAATGCACGTGAAAGCAGAACACAAGGAGTACAATACCTTTCTCATCTCCCACATTCATGGCCCATTCAGAATGCCTGCAGAAGTAATCGATAGTAGAGATGACACTCTGAGGGTCTCCTTTGATGGCCTTCTTTTGAACAGCTCTCAGAAGACGCTGGGCATCAGAGGGAGAATGAGGGTTTGAGTGAGAAGAAAAAAAAAGAACCAGACCAGAAGAAACCTCGGACATTAATACAGGTGAAAGATCCAAAAGAAGCTATGACATCTTAATCTTCTATCACTTTTCTGCATTAATAAACGAGTACGGTAAATGTGAGTTCTGAAGGGTGAAAGGTCAGAGAGGAGGTCACCTGGGGTCGGGTGGATCGGGTGAGGGTGTTGAGAGCCCTCTCTACAATGGCGTCGTGCCAGAGCAGGGCCCACCATGCGTTGTACTGCACAGCTGCAGGGATCAGCCAGGAGTACAGGCCATACAGAACAGCTGCTCCGCCACAACACAAAGCCAGGAAAGACAGCAACATGCTAGGGAGGAAAAGACCAGGCACACTGTTACAGGAGAGCACACTAGGGTACTGTTTCCCTATGTTTGTCCTCAGTTGACCTCTGTTGCTACAACACTATAATAATATGTTGATTCAACGTACAATTGTAAGGCAACCAGCTGCAATAGGATTGTGCGTTTGCTCAACATTTTAGAATATAGCTGAACCAACATACATTCTCAAGTTGAATTGTATGTTCACTCAACTTAGAATTTTAGGTTGAGTGAACATAATATTCAACTTGAGAATTTATTCAACCTTATCTGCATATTTCCCAGTGTAAAATTAAATTACTAACAGATTGGATTAGTTTAGAAAAATGCATGTTATTTATGTTCCATAAGATTAACCAACCAATGCAAAAACATATATGAATATGATAATGTTGGGCGTGGTTTTGAGCAAACAGACATTTGTAATTTCACTCAACAAGCAGAGTTTGTTGATTTAACGTACAATTGTAAGGCAACCAGCTGCAATAGGATTGTGAATTTGCTCAACATTTGGCCATATAGCTGAACCAACATACACTGTTGCCTAACCTTCCAAAGGCAAACATGAATTTGTCATTTTAAGCAACAAGCTTTTTCAAATTCAGCTCACTTCGAGCGGAGTTTGAGTAAACAACACATTAGCTCAAATTCTTGTCCATTTGAAGTACACTCAACTCCCAGAATAACGCTGATTAAGCAATTTGCTAAATAGGCTTTTTTGTGTGTGTAACTGAACAACCTCAAAATGGGTGTAAGGCAAACACAAATAGGGTAAAGTCATGACTTTTTGAAAAGGGCTCTGGCCTTTGTACCAGAGTGAATCTTTAACGTCATGGTGGTGCAACATGTGTACAGTGCCTTGCAAAAGTATTCATCCCCCTTGGCGTTTTTCCTATTTTGTTGCATTACAACCTGTAATTTAAATTGATTTGTATTTGGATTTCAAGTAATGGCCATACATAAAATAGTCAAAATTGGTGAAGTGTCAAAACATTCTAAAAAATAAATAATGGAAAAGTGGTGCGTGCATATGTATTCACCCCCTTTGCTATGAAGCCCCTAAATAAGATCTGGTGCAACCAATTACCTTCAGAAGTCACATAATTAGTTAAATAAAGTCCAACTGTGTGCAATCTAAGTGTCACATGATCTGTCTCATGATCTCAGTATACATATACACACACACACCTGTTCTGAAAGGCCCCAAAGTCTGCAACACCACTAAGCAAGGGGCACCACCAAGCAAGCGGCACCATGAAGACCAAGGAGCTCTCCAAACAGGTCAGGGACAAAGTTGTGGAGAAGTACAGATCAGGGTTGAGTTATAAAAAAAATATCTGAAACTTTGAACATCCCACGGAGCACCATTAAATCCATTATTAAAAAATGGAAAGAATATGGCACCACAATAAACCTGCCAAGAGAGGGCTGCCCACCAAAACTCACAGACCAGACAAGGAGGGCATTAATCAGAGAGGCAACAAAGAGACCAAAGATAACCCTGAAGGAGCTGAAAAGCACCACAGCAGAGAGTGGAGTATCTGTCCATAGGACCACTTTAAGCTGTACACTCCACAGAGCTGGGCTTTACGGAAGAGTGGGCAGAAAAAATCCATTGCTTAAAGAAAAAAATAAGCAAACACGTTTGGTGTTCGCCAAAAGGCATGTGGGAGACTCCCCAAACATATGGAAGAAGGTACTCTGGTCAGATGAGACTAAAATTGAGCTTTTTGGCCATCAAGGAAAACGCTATGTCTGGCGCAAACCCAACACCTCTCATCACCCCGAGAACACCATCCCCACAGTGAAGCATGGTGGTGGCAGCATCGGCAGGGACTGGGAAACTGGTCAGAATTGAAGGAATGATGGATGGCGCTAAATACAGGGAAATTCTTGAGGGAAACCTGTTTCAGTCTTCCAGAGATTTGAGACTGCGACAGAGGTTCACCTTCCAGCAGGACAATGACCCTAAGCATACTGCTAAAGCAACACTCTAGTGGTTTAAGGGGAAACATTTATTTATTCAAAGCCCAGACCTCAATCCAATTGAGAATCTGTGGTATGACTTAAAGATTGCTGTACACCAGCGGAACCCATCCAACTTGAAGGAGCTGGAGCAGTTTTGCCTTGAAGAATGGGCAACAATCACAGTGGGTAGATGTGCCAAGCTTATAGAGACATACCCCAAGAGACTTGCAGCTGTAATTGCTGCAAAAGGTGGCTCTACAAAGTATTGACTTTGGGGGGGGGGGGGGGGTGAATAGTTTTGCTGTAATGAATACTCAGGGAGAAAAAGGTGTAGATTCACGCGCAGAGCGTGGCAGGTGTTTATTTCGCCTTCACAGAAGGCAGGAATCGTGGTCACAGGCAGGCAATGGTCATACACAGATAGGCAAACAGGCAGGTGAATCAATAACTAGGACTGAAGGCTATAACTGGTTCTCACAAACAAGCTAGGAAAAGGCTTAGTAGAGTCAAAATGAACAATACCTCACAGGGCACAAACAGAATGAACTGAACTAAATAAGGAGCTGATGAGACCAGGTGAGTAACAACACAGGTGAAATCAATGAACAAAAATGAAAGACAGGGCTACGTTTAAGAACACAAAGAAACAGGGCTATGTTCAAGAACACAAGGTGAACTAAGAAAATAAATACAGAACCTTACATATGCACGCTCAAGTTTTCTGTTTTTTTGTCATATTTCTTGTTTGTTTCACAAAAAAAATGTATTTTGCATCTTCAAAGTGGTAGGCATGTTGTGTAAATCAAATGATACAAACCCCCAAAAAATACATTTTAATCCCAGGTTGTAAGGCAACAAAATAGGAAAAATGCCAAGGGGGGTGAATACTTTCGCAAGCCACTGTACAGTGGGGAAAAAAAGTATTTAGTCAGCCACCAATTGTGCAAGTTCTCCCACTTAAAAAGATGAGAGAGGCCTGTAATTTTCATCATAGGTACACGTCAACTATGACAGACAAAATGAGAAAAAAAAATCCAGAAAATCACATTGTAGGATTTTTTATGAATTTACTTGCAAATTATGGTGGAAAATAAGTATTTGGTCAATAACAAAAGTTTCTCAATACTTTGTTATATACCCTTTGTTGGCAATGACACAAGTCAAACGTTTTCTGTAAGTCTTCACAAGGTTTTCACACACTGTTGCTGGTATTTTGGCCCATTCCTCCATGCAGATCTCCTCTAGAGCAGTGATGTTTTGGGGCTGTCGCTGGGCAACACGGACTTTCAACTCCCTCCAAAGATTTTCTATGGGGTTGAGATCTGGAGACTGGCTAGGCCACTCCAGGACCTTGAAATGCTTCTTACGAAGCCACTCCTTCGTTGCCCGGGCGGTGTGTTTGGGATCAATGTCATGCTGAAAGACCCAGCCACGATTCATCTTCAATGCCCTTGCTGATGGAAGGAGGTTTTCACTCAAAATCTCACGATACATGGCCCCATTAATTATTTCCTTTACACGGATCAGTCGTCCTGGTCCCTTTGCAGAAAAACAGCCCCAAAGCATGATGTTTCCACCCCCATGCTTCACAGTAGGTATGGTGTTCTTTGGATGCAACTCAGCATTCTTTGTCCTCCAAACACGACGAGTTGAGTTTTTACCAAAAAGTTATATTTTGGTTTCATCTGACCATATGACATTCTCCCAATCCTCTTCTGGATCATCCAAATGCACTCTAGCAAACTTCAGACGGGCCTGGACATGTACTGGCTTAAGCAGGGGGACACGTCTGGCACTGCAGGATTTGAGTCCCTGGCGGCGTAGTGTGTTACTGATGGTAGGCTTTGTTACTTTGGTCCCAGCTCTCTGCAGGTCATTCACTAGGTCCCCCCGTGTGGTTCTGGGATTTTTGCTCACCGTTCTTGTGATCATTTTGACCCCACGGGGTGAGATCTTGCTTGGAGCCACAGATCAAGGGAGATTATCAGTGGTCTTGTATGTCTTCCATTTCCTAATAATTGCTCCCACAGTTGATTTCTTCAAACCAAGCTGCTTACCTATTGCAGATTCAGTCTTCCCAGCCTGGTGCAGGTCTACAATGTTGTTTCTGGTGTCCTTTGATAGCTCTTTGGTCTTGGCCATAGTGGAGTTTGGAGTGTGACTGTTTGAGGTTGTGGACAGGTGTCTTTTATACTGATAACAAGTTCAAACAGGTGCCATTAATACAGGTAACGAGTGGAGGACAGAGGAGCCTCTTAAAGAAGAAGTTACAGGTCTGTGAGAGCCAGAAATCTTGCTTGTTTGTAGGTGACCAAATACTTATTTTCCACCATAATTTGCAAATAAATTCATTAAAATCCTACAATGTGATTTTCTGGATTTTTTTTCCTCAATTTGTCTGTCATAGTTGACGTGTACCTATGATGAAAATTACAGGCCTCTCTCATCTTTTTAAGTGGGAGAACTTGCACAATTGGTGGCTGACTAAATACTTTTTTTCCCCACTGTAGTTATGATGAACAACATGCTAGTAAACCTTACTACAGCACTGTGCATTAAGATAATAGATAGTCTTATGAAGATAGACAGCCTTGTGAATTATGCATATCATAAATAAAACACTATTGATATTGAATAGTGCGTCACTGGTGTTTGGTTAATATGTTGCAACTCTTCCTATGAATCCCAACGGTACGCGACCCATATGAAATCATAAATAATTTCTAATAACCCTCTGTAGACACAATTAAATAGAACTAAATATACATTTCAAATGAAACTGCAGTGGGAAGAGCTGCTGGAAAGTAAGAAAAATGTGTAATGCACCGCACTATGCAGCCCTTTCCTTGCACATGAAAGAGGTGAATGAAGGAAAGGGTGCAATCGTTTTGCTTGGGTCTAGAGGTGCTGTTTCTGCATGTATTGTGTGAAAATTGGCTTCAAGCCCAGGGTTAAGAACTGTGTCACAGTAAAGTCACAATAGGGTTATTCTTGAATTGCGGTGGTAAAAGCTTTCCCTTGACTTTGGCACCATGTAAAAACACTTTAAAATGACAAAAACATTACAAATAATAAATTTTCTGTTTTATTTAACATTACAAATAATACTTTTTTATTTTTTTAATGTCATTTAGCAGACGCTCTTATCCAGAGCGACTTACAGTTAGTGAGTGCATACATTATTTTAAAATTTTTCATACTGGCCCCCCGTGGGAATCTACCAACTGAGCTACATCCCTGCCGGCCATTCCCTCCCCTACCCTGGACGACGCTGGGCCAATTGTGCGCCGCCCCATGGGTCTCCCGGTCGCGGCAGGCTACAACAGAGCTTGGATTTGAACCAGGATCTCTAGTGGCACAGCTAGCACTGCAATGCAGTGCCTTAGACCACTGCGCCACTCGCCATATGTAAGTCCTTTATACTGCAACACGTCTATTTGTATGCATTGTAGAAACTACTGGGGGCTAGCAGGTTGGCTTGTCCCACTGGTGATGTGAAGAGGTGTAGTGACATGTTTTGGGGATTTATATATACACTACCAGTCAAAAGTTTGGACACACCTACTCGTTCAAGGGTTTTTCTTTATTTGTACTATTTTTTACATTGTAGAATAATAGTGAAGACATCAAAACAATGAAATAACACATATGGAATCATGTAGTAACCAAAAAAGTGTTAAACAAATCAAAATATATTTGATATTTGAGATTCTTCAAATAGCCACCCTTTGCCTTGATGACATCTTTGCACACTCTTGGCATTCTCTCAACCAGCTTCATGAGGTAGTCACCTGGAATACATTTCAATTAACAGGTGTGCCTTCTTAAAAGTTAATTTGTGGAATTCATTTCCTTCTTAATGTGTTTGAGCAAATCAGTTGTGTTGTGACAAGGTAGGGGTGGTATACAGAAGATAGCCCTATTTGGTAAGAGAAACAACAGTCCATCATTACTTTAAGACATGAAGGTCAGTCAATACGGAACATTTCAATACCTTTGAAAGTTTCTTCAAGTGCAGTCACAAAAACCATCAAGCGCTATGATGAAACTGGCTCTCATGAGGACCGCCACAGGAATGGAAGACCCAGAGTTACCTCTGTTGCAGAGGATAAGTTCATTAGAGTTACCAGCCTCAGAAATTGCAGCACAAATAAATGCTTCAGAGTTCAAGTAACAGACACATCTCAACATCAACTGTTCATAGGAGACTGTGTGAATCAGGCCTTCGTGGTCGAATTGCTGCAAAGAAACCACTACTAAAGGAAACTGATAAGAAGAAGAGACTTGCTTGGGCCAAGAAACACGAGCAATGGATATTAGACCGATGGAAATGTATCCTTTGGTTTGGAGTCCAAACTGGAGATTTTTGGTTCCAACCGCTGTGGCTTTGTGAGACGCTGTGTGGGTGAACAGATGATCTCCTCATGTGTATTTCCCACCATAAAGCATGGAGGAGGAGGTGTTATGATGTGGGGATGCTTTTCTGGTGACATTGTCTGTGATTTATTTAGAATTCAAGGCACACTTAACCAGCATGGCTACTACAGCATTCTGCAGCGATACGCCATCCCATCTGGTTTGGGCTTAGTGGGACTATCATTTGTTTTTCAACAGGACAATGACCCAACACAACTCCAGGCTGTGTAAGGCTATATTACCAAGAAGGAGAGTGATGGAGTGCTGCATCAGATGACCTGGCCTCCACAATCCCCCGACCTCAACCCAATTGAGATGGTTTGGGATGTGTCGGACCGCAGAGTGAAGGAAAAGCAGCCAACAAGTGCTCAGCATATGTGGGAACTCCTTCAAGACTGTTGGAAAAGCATTCCAGGTGAAGCTATACCAAGAGTGTGCAACGCTGTCATCAAGGCAAAGGGTGGCTATTTGAAGAATCTCACATTTAAAAGATATTTTGATTTGTTTAACCCTTTTTTGGTTACTACATGATTCCATATGTGTTATTTTATGGTTTTGATGTCTTCACTATTATTCTACAATGTAAAAAATAGTAAAAATAAAGAAAAACCCTTGAATGAGTAGGTGTGTCCAAACTTTTGACTGGTAGTATACTACTTTGAATGCTAAACAGTGAGCAAACATATTTAATATATTGTATAGATCAATAAAAACAAAGAAGGCAACAAAGAAGGCTATTAAAATACTTTTTTACTAGTATGATGTGTCCCTCAGTTGTATGTCATTGGTGTTACCACCTTTAAAATCACTGATTACAAAGATATATAAGGACCTTGAGCATTCTCTCCAGTGGCAAACTTATCTGAGGAGGGGTCTATAAAGAAAATGATTAGCTAATCACACCTTTTATTATGTCATGAATGTGAGGATTCCATTGATAATTGTGTGTGTCTAAAGGGTCACTTGGTGTTAGTCAATTTAAATGAAGAGAACTAATATTGTGAGCAAAATGATTAATCATATCACTTTAGTAAATTCTTTTTTTGTTTGATGACCTTAGATTTGAACATTTGTGGCATCCGTTTCAGAAAATCCCCAATTACCCAAAAAGGTTTTATTGGTGTTACCGTCATTGGTGTTACTACTCCTACCAGTGGCACAATGTTATCATAATGGTACAAATTATTTAAAGTCATTAATCTGCCATATTAGTTCATTTAGAATGGGAAGATATATTTAAATAAATACAAACTAGAAAAATGTAGTTAATATTTTCCAAAATGCCATGCCCAAATGGCACCGTAATTCAAGAACGATCCAATAGCAATGAGTTATCGTGATTCTCAACTGCTATACTTGTAAGCAGAATAATATATTAGACAGCTTTGAAAGGTGACAAAATATGTTATATGTATGTTATAACCTCGAAAATCTACGTTTACAAAGTCCTTTGACAATTGAACAATTGAACAGATGTAAATCGAACTAGCAAGGGAATCAAATTGTGCTCCTATTACAATATCAGGGTTTAGCCAATATAGAACAACGACAAATTAGTCACATTACAACCCTCCCTAATTAGTAGGCAGCAATACACTTTTGACCGGAGTCTCCTTTCAGTTGTTGTTGTTGTCAAGAGTCGCTGAGGGAATAGCCATCTCAAAGCATATTGACAGCAGCAGACACCAACAAAGGAGGACTTCACAGCCCACGGCTTCAAAAGAACAATAGAGGTGCCTGAGAAATGTCACACAGTCAATTAAAGATGCTATCACACATTGGGCAAACACGGCTTGAATCAATGTTGTTTCCACAAATTTCAACAACAACAAAATAAATGTGATGACGTTGAATCAACGTGGAAAACTGACTGGATTTGCAAAAAGTCATCAACATAAGGACATTTCGTATTTTTTTCACCCAACTTTTGGATTTCACCTTGAATTCACGTTAGTTTACAACTCAACCAAATGTCAATCAAAAATAGACCTTGAACTGAGCAGGTAGATGAGATAGCAGCAACAGCAGACAGGCGGTGAGGAATCTGTCAGCTGAGACAATATTAATTTACATGGATAATAAAGCATGTGATGATATTATCCTAATCTCTTTGGGAGAGGTTGAAGTCATGTTCAAGCTACATTACACAGACAAGTAAAAATATTTAGCTCTGCAAATGACCATTTCATGCAATATCAAATATATCTATATTTATTATATACATATGAATTGAAGTAATTCTAAACTAACATATTATACATGTTCTCAGATGTCAGTAAGATCTCTTGTTTCAGGTCAAGGCAAAGCACCACAAACAATACTGTTATTGTGGTGGGGGGAGTTTCAAGTTAACATTTTCACATTTCCTAAACAGCAACATGCACACAGAAAGCAATCTCACCATGGCTTTTCATGGAATTTAACACAACAAAGAAAGGACAGACAAACTGTTGAACATAATTCTGAAACGTAATTTCCAACAGAGGCATATCTTACTTCCTGCTGATGTCTCCACGCTCAGAGCTGCTTCTCCACAACCTCTTATCCTTTGTTGCCTGTTTCTCCTTTAAGCCCCTAACTACACTATGAGCACAGTCCTCTCTCACTCTCTCTCTCTCTTTCTCTCTCCCCCTCGCTCTATCCTCTCTCTCGCTCTCGCTCTCCCAGGCAGCTTTGATGTGAGCTGAAAGGAATGTGCAGCTATAGGTCAAACTGCAAAGCTTGGCTCAGTTGCACACACACTGACGGTGACATAGCATAAGCCCCAAAACACACCCACACAAAGAGAGAAAGGCTAATCAACAGCCAACTGGGCAGAGTTTTAAATCCCTCTTTAGCCAATCATGTAATAATCCCATCTCTCTCTTTCTTCCTCTTAGCATGCTACTCTCTCTCTTTCTGCCCCTCCCCCTTTACACCCTCCCCTTACTACAATAATTCACACATTCTGTAAAATAGATCAAGAGAGAACAGCAGGAGAACTACACCCTATATGGACAGTCTTTTTTTCACATTCAGGATGTATAAAAAGAGCCTGAATGGAAAGAGCTTGAATACTACTTCATTATAAAAAAAAAAAAAATAGAAGAAAACAAGACATAAAATATGAAAACATGGTTAAAATATCTTCAATAATGGCAGTTGTGCAGTGGGAATGGCAGTTACATGTAAGTGTCCCTGGACGCTGTTTTGCAGACCACCATACCCTGCCTGACCTTATGGGCCTGCACCGGGAGGGCCAGAGGGTGGAGAGGCACAACATAATTCTCTCTCTGTACCTGCCATCCGCAATCTCCATCACACTTGAACACAGATACTCCCTCCCAGCTAGTGCATCCCCACACACTGGAGAAACACACTCTGTTATTTAGTGTGATTGCCTCTAAAACATGATAGCATCACACACACTACACTTTTGAAAATAATCTCTATTTAACTAATATGCTGCATTGTAGTGCATTTCCCCCTGTTATAAATAATAATACTGTACTGTCATTATCTGCAGCACAGAGAAATAAATCCAGGTTTTGCCAGTGTTTTATTCCTAAAGCTGCCCCATTACACATATCGGTAGGAAGAGAGGTAGCCTTATTGCTTGTGGGATATTGATACACACATGCACACACACACTAGGCTATTGATATTTTATTCTGAGCCTACACCAGGCTAAACAGTGACATCTGGTGGCCAGTGGATGTATCATCCTACGATACTGTACTCCAGGTTGACATTTGCATTTTTACTTAACTACCCAGTCCCAGTGTTTTTCATTATTCCATTACTCAGATTAATAAACCATCTATAGCACTGTATTTTGCTGTTGTTCAGTCCATTGAATATGTCAGTTGGAATGAGTTCTCAGCAACAACAAAAAATAAACATAAACCATAAACCTGTGCGCCCCGTATAACTACAGGCCATTGCAGAGTACAGGACTTGCCAGTATTATAAGTAATACTGGGCTGCTGAGCTCAACAGTCATGGTTGGTATGTTAGCCCTAGTCTTCCAGGGTCGAGGGTTTTCCATGTTGACGGTATTCTGTCAAGTCTCTCTGGCATGTTTAGAGAGAAGTGCTGCAGGGATGTCTCTGCCTGGACAACAACACAGGAGTGACTAACTGGACGTCTCCATGGTTATTGAGCTAACTTTTAGGTCTGTTTTCAAGTCATAGACTATTTCAGACTGAATGATTACTGTCAGGAGTTTGTGTTCTGTACTAACTTGAAACTGGGCCAGGAAATGTTTGGTCCGTGCTATCCGGGATCCTTGGGACATCCCTACCCCATTGACGTTGAAATTATAAGGCCATAAGCAAACAAGAAAATGCTAATCTAGTGGCCGGGGACTTTAATGCAAGAAAACTGAAATCTGTTTTACCTCATTTCTACCAGCATGTCACATGTGCAACAGGAGAAGAAAAAAAAACTCTAGATCACCTTTACTCCACACACAGAGACGCGTACAAAGCTCTCCCTCGCTCTCCAATTGGCAAATCTAACCATAACTCTATCCTCTTGATTCCTGCTTACAAGCAAAAACTAAAACAGGAAGTACTAATGAAACGCTCAATACGGAAGTGGTCCGATGAAGCGGATGCTAAATTACATCACTGTTTTGCTAGCACAGACTGGAATATGTTCCGGGATTCATCCGATGGCATTGCGGAGTATACCACGTCAGTCACCGGCTTCATTAATAAGTGCATCGATGACTTCGTCCCCACAGTGACGGTGCGTACATATTCCAACCAGAAGCCATGGATTACAGGCAACATCCGCACTGAGCTAAAGGCTAGAGCTGCCGCTTTCAAGGAGCGGAACACAAATCCGGACGCTTATAAGAAATCTTGCTACGTCCGACGAACCATCAAACAGGCAAAGCGCCAATACAGGACTAAGATCGAATCCTATCACACCGGCTCTGATGCTCGTTGGATGTGGCAGGGCTTGCAAACTATCACAGATTACAAAGGGAAACCCAACCGTGAGCTGCCCAGTGACGTGAGCCTACCAGATGAGCTAAATGATTTCCATGCTCGCTTCGAGGCAAGCAACACTGAACAATGCATGAGCGCACCAGCTGTTCCGGACAACTGTGTGATCATGCTCTCCGTAGCCAATGTGAGTAAGGCCTTTAAACAGGTTAACATTCACAAGGCTGCAGGGCCAGACGGATTACCAGGATGCGTACTCAGTGCATGAGCTGACCAGCTGGCAAGTTTCTTCACTGACATTTTCAACCTCTCCCTGACTCAGTCTGTAATACCTACATGTTTCAAGCAGACCACCATAGTCCCTGTGCCCAAGAATGCCAAGGGAACCTGTCTAAATGACTATCGCTCCGTAGCACTCACATCTGTAGCCATGAAATGCTTTGAAAGGCTGGACATGCCTCACATCAACACCCTCATCCCAGACACCATGGACCCACTCCAATTCGCATTCCGCCCCAACAGATCCACAGATGACGCAAACTCTATTGCACTCCACACTTCAAGCTCATCACTAAGCTAAGGACCCTGGGACTGAACACCTCCCTCTGCAACTGGATCCTGGACTTCCTGATGATCCGCCCCCAGGTGGTGAGGGTAGGCAACAACACATCCACCACGCACGACTACAATACCATCATTAAGTTTGCCGATGACACGATGGTGGTAGGCCTGATCACCGACGACGATGAGACAGCCTGATAGGAAGGAGGTCAGAGACCTGGCAGTGTGGTGCCGGGACAACCTCTCCCTCAAGGTGAGCAAGACCAAGGAGCTGATCGTGGACTACAGGAAAAGGAGGGCCGAGCACACCCCCATTCAGATCGACGGGGCTGTAGTGGAGCGGGTCGAGAGCTTCAAGTTCCTTGGTGTCCACATCACTAAGAACCTATCATGGTCCAAACACACCAACACAGTCGTGAAGAGGGCACAACAATGCCTATTCCCCCTCTGGAGGCTGAAAATATTAGCATGGAACCTCAGATCTTCAAAAAGTTCTACAGCTGCACCATCGAGAGCATCCTGACTAGTTGCATCACCGCTTGGTATGGCAACTGCTCGGCATCCAACCGCAAGGCGATACAGAGGGTAGTGCGTATGGCCATCCAAGTCTGGGACCAAAAGACTCCTTAACAGCTTCTACCCCCAAGCCATTAGACTGCTGAACAGTTAATCAAATGGCTACCCGGACTATTTGCATTGACCCCCTTATTTTATTATGATTATTTTTTGCACTGACTCTCTTGCACTAGCTCGATGTACACTCACTGGACTCTAACCACACACTCACACATACCACACTGACACTCCAACACACACACTCACATTCCTTCACACTCTTCACATACCCTGCTGCTACTCTGGGGTAGGGGAGGGAATGGCTGGCAGGGATGTAGCTCAGTTGATAGAACATGTTGTGGGTTCGATTCCCACGGGGGGCCAGTATAAAAAAATATGTATTCACTAACTGTAAGTCGCTCTGGATAAGAGCGTCTGCTAAATGACTAAAATGTAAATGTAAAATGTAAATTATCTATGCCAAGTCACTTTACCCCTACCGACATGTACATATTACCTCAACTAACCCGTACCCCCGCACATTGACTGGTACCGGTACCACTTGTATATAGCCTTGTTATTGTTATTTATTGTGTTACTAGTTTTTAGTTAAGGGCATTGTTAGTTCATGAGTCGTAAGTAAGCATTTCATGGTAAGGTTTTCACCTGTTGTATTTGGCTCATGTGACAAATACAATTTAATTTGAAATGTAAAATGGTTATGTTAAGGTTAGGTAAGGGTTATGGTTATGGTTAGGGTAGGGGTTAAGGTTAGGGTTTAGGGTAGGCACGTCAAGGATTCTGGATAGCACTGACCGGGAATTTTTGCTATCAATCACCCAAGTTCCTCCATATTGAGATCATTATAATGAATTGATCAGTTATCTCCAGTGTTTGTTTATTTGCAACCTTGAAATTGTGCATGCTACAATTCAATGTAGTTGTATCTGCTATATATAGCTCTGGAAAAAAATAAAAGACCGCTGCAAAATTATCAGTTTCTCTGGTTTTACTATTTATAGGTATGTGTTTGGGTGAAATTAACATTTTTGTTTTATTGTATAAACTACTGACAACATTTCTCCCAAATTCCAAATAAAAATATTGTCAGTTAGAGCATTTATTTGCAGAAATTGACAACTAGTCAAAATAACAAAAAAGATTCAGTGTTGTCAGACCTCTAATAATGCAAAGAAAATAAGTTCATGTTCATTTTTAAACAACACAATACTAATGTTTTAACTTAGGAAGAGTTCAGAAATCAATATTTGGTGGAATAACCCTGATTTTCAATCACAGCTTTCATGCGTCTTGGCATGCTCTCCACCAGTCTTTCACATTGATGTTGGGTGACTTTATGCCACTCCTGGCGCAAAAATTCAAGCAGCTCGGCTTTGTTTGATGGCTTGTGACCATCCATCTTCCTTTTGATCACATTCCAGAAGTTTTCAATGGGGTTCAGGTCTGGAGATTGGGCTGGCCATGACAGGGTCTTGATCTGGTGGTCCTCCATCTACACCTTGATTGACCTGGGTGTGTGGCATGGCGCATTGTCCTGCTGGAAAAACCAATCCTCAGA